CAGGCAGGACCCAGGAGTGCAAGCGGCCTGTAGCCCTTAAGACAGACGCAGAGGTTCAAAGTAGAGAGGTGGCTTAAGTCCAGGCTTAAGAGACAGGGCCTCCCATCCCTGAGGACGGGACTCATCCTTGCTTAACTTTGTGTCACCAGGGTCACTGTGCCCAGGGACAGACACTTGCAGGGCCCCCCCTCTCTCAGTCCTCCATCCAGCAGTATGTGAGCTACAGATCAGGTGCCACACAAGGGATTGGGGTTCCTGAGAGGACAAGAAAAGGGGAACTCGAGGCAGGAACCTGGAGACAGGTACGGAAGCAGAGACTACGGAGGAGGAGAGCTGCTTACAGGCTTGCCCTCTTGGCTTATTCAGCTTGTGTTCTTACCTGCCCAGGGGTGAGCTTGCCCAGGGCCCTGCTGGGCCTCCCACACAAATCATCAACAAGAAAATGCCCCCTCAGACACACGCGCGTAGGCCAAACTGCTGGAGGCTGTTTCTCAAGTGAGGTCTCCTCTTCCTACCAGCGCCTCTAGTTTGGGACGCATTGACAGAAACTAACCAGCACACACCTCAAGCACTTGACCAAATCAGCCATCTTCTCACCCCCACCCACCCACCCCAAGAACTGCGTTCCAAAGTGGCGGCATTATACGAATAGCGAGGAACACGGAGGTGAGGATCGGGAGGAGACACCCACTCTCCTTTTCCCTCTTGGCTCTCCCCCAGACATCCGCCTAGACTGGGAGACCTATGTCCCAGAGGAAAAGGAAGACCGGCTGCTGGAGCTGCTTGTATTTTATGGGCCGCTCTTCCCCCTGCTGGACCAAGCAGGGAACGAGCTCCTGTGCCCCGAGACCTCCGAGGCCAGCTCCCCGGGGTCCCCAAGTTCCACCACCGAGTCCGTGTCTGGCCACGCAGTCCCCTCGTCGGTGAGCAGGAGCGCAGGGCATGCGAGAAGCGGCCGGGTTCGGTTCGAGCCCACTCGAGCTCCGGGGTCTCGTTGGTCACAGGGCAGCGGCAGCACCAGGACTGAAGAGCAGATCATCTCAGTCATCCTGCAGGGGCACGAGGGGGTGCCCTCCAACAGCGTGTACCGCATCAGCCCCAAGCAGGTGGTGAGTGGGCGGCGGGCGGCGGGCGGCGGGCAGAGGGCGGGTGCTCTCTGGTGGAGCTGCCCTGGCCTGGTTGAGCACAGGCCAGGGCTGAGGCTGCTGTGCTCCTACCAGGTCATCCCAGCTGGGGGCAACAGCACCATGCACATCTCCTTCACGCCCATGGTGCTCGACCTCGATATTCCGCACAAGGTGGGGTGCACGGGCTATGCCCTGGGCTTCATGAGCTTGGACAAGGAGGTGAGCCTTCTCACCTGGGGTGAGGGTGCCACAGCCACCCCCTCCCCCCTGCGCGGCACACTGCCTCCTCAGCCCCGGGACCACCAGTGATCTCTGACGGCTTGGGCTCTGCAGACAGACAGAGAGATCCCGGGTCGGATGCGCCGCCTTCAGGACTTTGCCGTGGGCCCCCTGAGACTAGATCTGAATGGCTATGTGAGGCTTGCACAGTGAGTCAACCGGATCTCCCTCCCCAACCCTCATCCCCTTGAGACCGGAACCTCATGTCTCTGGGCAGGCATAGAAGGGAGGAGGAGCCAACAGGGACGGGGAGGTGACGCGGGAGACCCAGATCCTGGCACCCTGAGTAGCGCCTGCCACTTCAGGCTGACCGTGGAGCTGGACAAAGGTGGCTACTTGGAGTTCCGGTGCCAGGCCAGCGACCTCATCCCGACAAATCCTTGCCGTGGGGTGAGTATGCTGTCACCCCGAGCCAGCCAAAGGACTTGAATCTCCCATGTGCCTGTGGGTCCTTCTGAGTCCCTTCCCCAGAGTCACGGCCTGAGGAGCAGGAAGGGATGCACCATGGGCCCACCCCCTCATCCCCTCCACCCGTGACCCCAGGTGCTGAGTGACCGGCTTATCACCCGCAACCTGAAACTGATCAACACCACGGAAATCCTGCACCACTTCCGGATCCTGGCCTTCAGGCCCTTCTTCATCTCTCAAGATGGGGCCGGCTGGGACAACAGCGCCTGTGACCACCGTCACCAGTGCGAAGAGGAGATGGCGTCCTCAGGCCAGCAGCTGTTACTCCGCCCACAGGAGAACATGCTGGTCAGTGCAGGGGCACGCCACCTCCCTCCTCACCTCTACAGGCAACACACACGTACACACGCACACACACACACACAAGCTCTAGATCTAAACAAGCCTGTAAAACTGAATTCACCATCACCACGCCCTGTCCCACGTGGAGTCTTCTCAATGTCTTTTGTCTCAGCAACCTCCAGAGCTCTTAACTCCCCACCCCACCCCCAACCAATCGAGCCCCAGGACGGCCTCTGACTTGGTAGTGCTACCCAAGCTTCTCATCTTGGCCCTAGATAGTGGTTCCCAGACCTGGGGAAACCAGCCTTTAGAATGCCTGAAACAAGTACAATCGCCCAGACCCCTTCAGCCCCCCTTTCCACAGGAAAGTCACGGCTGAGGCCCAGGAACCAGTACTAGTAGCAAACACCCCAAGCTGATTGTGTCTTGAGGGCTCGGAGCCCAAGCCCTGCTCCGTCTGGCCTGAGTTCCACGCCCCTCCCCAGCCTTCTGTTCTCAGCCCGCTCACGTTCCACAGCAGCCAGGGGCACTGTGGGAGGGAAAATTGCCATGGATGTCCCATTTCAGACCCTAGCGGACCCCTCATGTCCCAGGTCACCCTAGGTGAGACGGGCAGTGTCCTTCCTCTGCCCCCTCCAGCAGACTCCCTAGGACAAAGAAGGATGGCTTCCGTGCTGAGCCCGTGTGCAGGGCTCGGGGACCAAGTACTCCACACAGGGGCGCTGCGGAGCCACGTGCTGGGCAGCTTGGCCTCTCTGGGCTCCACAAACCCTATAAGCTGGGCCCCCCCCCCCCCGAACAGGACCTGGCTGGGCCAGCAGGCCACCTGCCTCCGGTGGCCTGTGTGACGCTGTGTCCGCCTCTGCTCAGGTGGCCATGTCCTTCTCACTCTCCCTGGAGCTGCTGTCCTACCAGAAGCTCCCAGCTGATCAGATGCTGCCTGGAGTGGACATTCAGCAGAGTGAGCACGGAGAGAAACAGATGGTATTCACGCAGAACCTGCATCTGTGCTTCACCAACCAGACTGTGCAGGCACGAGCTAAGCTTCCCCCTCCCACCCGACCCCCACCCCACCCCCACAGGAGGAGGATGGCACCAGAGCGGGGGGGAGGAGCCAGGGTGCTCCCTGGAGGAGGTGGCAGGTGAAGCCTGCTTCTTGGTTAATCAAGAGAAAATGGAAGCTACACAGAGCGACCTAGGGTCTGGACTCATTTGGTGGGGCACGGTGAGGCTGAGGAAGCTGTGTGAGGTACACTGCTTCGCTCCCGTAGGGCTTTGAGAGCCAGTGAGCAGGTCACACAGAGCTAACGGGTAGACCCTGTGAGATGCCAGGGAGACCAGAAGCAGGGCAGGGAGCAGCCCTGCAGCCTGGAACCCGGCAGCAGCTGGGGCCCGAAAAGCGGTTGACCGTGGCGGTAACCTGAGTGACTCGAGGGGCCTCTGAGAGGCCTTGGGCCACTCGGCTCCGGGTCTAATGAGCTGGGGAGCGTGCCTTGGATCCCACAGGAGGAGGAGGACAGACAAGGAAGGTGATGGAGGCCATGGGAGGGCGGCTGGCAGAGAAGCTGAGGTGTCCCTGTGGCCCCGCAGGGTTCCCCCTCCCCTTCCCCCTCCGGCTCTGGTGGCAGTGCCAGCCTCCTGCTGCCTAACGGCCTGCCACCCAGCTCTGTTCACAAGTGTCGGTAGCTGGGGGAGGCCGGTTTCCCCCGTGCCCCAGTTCAGAACAACACCCCAGCGGGACAAGGCCGCCTCATCCCTCACTGAGTCTCGGGCTCCTAGGAGGTGCCCCTGCGGGCTGTCGTGGCCGTGCCGTCGCTGCAGCTCTCCACCAGCTGGGTGGACTTCGGGACCTGCTTTGTGAGCCAGAAGCACAGCCGGGAGATCTCCCTGATGAACCTCAGCGACTGCCTGAGCTACTGGACAGTGCTGATGGGTATGTCCCTCACATGCTGCTGCTGCTCCTTGGCGGGACCCAGCAAGACCCCTGCGGAAGACGGCAGGGTCCTGTCCCTGGCTCTAGGGCCAGTGGCACCTGAGTCCACCAGTCATCCAGTCCCTGGTTGCCCTGCCCTGGTAGCTGGAAGGACCAGAGGCGGCAGCTGAGAGGCTGGTCTGGTCTGGTCTGGTCTGGTCTGGTCCGGTCTGGGGCACAGCATCGGAAGCAGCCTGTGCCCACGTGTGGCCTCCTCTCTTCTGGGTGCAGGACAGGAGGAACCAGCCAGCGAGGATAACGCCTTTGGGGTCTTCCCAAGCAGTGGGCTGCTGGAGGCCCGACCCACCAATTCACCCCCAGCCTCCATTCCCCTTCAGGTGTTCTTCAGCCCAAGGTCAGTGCTGCTTCCCGCCCCCCCCCGGGCACCCACCCCCACGGGGCCTGGGCACTGGCTGGCACTGCCTAACCTCGCATCCGCCTTCCCCAGGAGCAGCCTGCTGTATGAGTCCACCATGGTGGTGGAGGGTGTGCTGAGTGAGAAGTCTTGCACCCTGAGGCTGCGGGGCCGAGGCTCTTATGACGAGAGATACGTGACACCCCACCAGTTCTGAGCTCCGCCGTCCTCAGCCCCCCCCGCCCCGCCCCAGCTGAGGACATCAGGCCGGCCCAGAGCAGAGAGGCAGAGCTGCTAAATTAAGCAGGGACACGGGCTCCCCAGAGGACGGAATCTCCTTCCAGGGAATGGTGTCAATTAACCACACCCCGTATGACAGTTCCCCAGGGCTAGCCAGCATGTGCCCCCACCAGGGTGACTATGACGCTTATATCATTTCAAGGATGGTTCGCTGATTCCAGCAAAGCTGGACCCCGAGGGAAATGACTGCCACCGACGCGAGATAACACACGTTCACTTTGCCCATCACACCCATCTTTCATGAGGCCACCGTCCGACAGAGACAGACATTGTCCTGTGGTCAAGAGGAACCTGTGTGACTGGCCCAATGCTCAATCATCCCCATATTGTGATGATCACATTTTCCAAATCAAAGTGCCATGATCCACCCCTCCAGTGCTGCCCCATGCTTCCGTAGAGTCCCTGTCTGGCCGCCGCCGCTGTAGGACTCTCTGGGCAGTGCCTGCAGCCAGGGCTTCAGTTGCCAGGGTATTCGAAGACAGCAGCGGCTCCCATGCCCGTCCCGATGCACATGGACACCACTCCATAAGCCCTGGGGAGGAGACCCTGCGTTGGCTGGGCAGAGCCTGACCCCCACCCGTGCCCCCAGCAGGCCGAGCTGCAGCAATAAGGGCTCCTGGGCAGATGGGCACAGCAGACGTGTGGGAACTGAGCCCTAGACACACCCGGGTGGCAGACACCGTCCATAGTTGTGCTGCCTTTGAGGCAGGGCTCAGCCTCCTTCCCTAGTCCACAATGCCTGTGTGTGCTCGCCTGCCCAGGCCCCAGCGGCCTGACACCCAGCTCACACCCCACGACACTCCACAGGGAGCAGCCTCACCGTTTCCCACGACGCTTCAGTTCATTGAGCAGGGTGACCACCTGCCTCGCCCTGGTGCAGCCCAGGGGGTGGCCCAGGGCTATTGCACCCCCCAGGGGGTTCACCTTCTCTGCAGGGATCCCCAGCTTCTCCACACAGTAGAGGGCCTGGAAGGAGCCAGAGCAGCCGCTGAGGCCTCCATCGGCTCTGAGCCGCTGGCCCGATGGCGCCCACCCGGACACCCAGGCTCACCTGACTTGCAAAGGCCTCATTGATCTCAAAGATGTCTATGTCGTTCACAGTCAGCCCTGCAGGCAAGATTCAGACCAGAGCTGACAGTCACGGGCAGGACTCTGGACTCCCTCTGGGCTCCACCCCATGCGCGGCTCTAGAGGTCTACCGTGTGCCAGGCCAGTGGGGTCCAGTGGCAGGTTAGGGAGGCCTCGGACTTGGGTGCTAGCCTGACCCACACTCATTCCAGAGCAGCCAAAGGGTCAAACCCTGCAACCCCAGTCCCAGACACAGGTGAAGAGGGGTCCAGGTACAGGATGACAGGGACGGCCTCACCTGCTTTCTGCAAGGCTGCAGGGATGGCATAGGCAGGACCGATGCCCATGACGTGGTGGTGTCAGACGGAGCTGAGGAGAGCCAGCCCTCCACCATCACCTTGCCATGGGGCCTGGGCAGCTCCAGGTCTCAGAGTAGAACAGGTCACCTCCATCAGCCCTATTCCTGGCCCACACCCACCAGCTGTGGTAGAGCCTCCATCCTTGAAGGCCGGCTTCAGCTTGGCCAGGCCCTCCATGGTGGTGTTGGGACGGACACCCTCATCCTGGGTCACAGTGACGGTTTTCTTGTTGCCCTTGTCATCAAGGACGGCGGTTGTCACAGGCACGATCTCAGCTTGGAAACAGCCCCTGCTCTGGGCTCTCGCTGCCCTGCCAGCACCATGGACAGCGAGCCCCAGGCCTGGTGTTTTTCCTGCCTATCCCTGGCCTTGGCCAACTCAGGAAGACACACAGCCTCAGGCTGTGCAACCCAGGGACTGCCCTGCCCCAAGGGTACTCTGAGTGACTTGTGAGGGTTCCTCAGGACACCACCTTCCTCTGGGAGAGAAAGGCATGCACATCGCTTTCCTAGACTCGATTTTCACGTCTCGGGGCTCATCCCAGTCAAGAGCTGGGCTTTTGGAGCTCCCGTTCTGTTTAGGGCTCTTTATTCAGTGGCCACTGAGTCTGCCCAGTGGTCTCTTCCACAGTAAGGCTGGCACTTTCCCACAGGCCTGAGGCTCTGATTTTCTTGAACGGCAGCCTCGGGTCACCACTCGAGGCCCAGGTCTGCCTCTTACGCTAGGTTTTAGCGCCAATGGCCCCATACTCCAGGCTTAAGGGTCACCAGTGGCCACCACGCCTGATAAGAACAGTGTCCTCTATTCCCTATGTCCCACGGAGCGGGGTTGGGGAGGGGCTGAGCGGACACTCAGACCTCAGAGTGTACAGTTAGAGAGGGCTGACTGGGAAGACCTACCCAACAGTGGTGCTCAACCTCCTCACCTTCCAGCCAGAGGCAGGAGGCTAGTCAACACTTTTGTGTCAACTTGACAGAGCCAGCTCGGGCCACTCTCCGGCCCTATCCACAGCCCGCCCAAGCCGCACTCACTTCCGCTGGGAGGCCAGAGCGAAGGCGTCCTGCTTCTGCCGTGAAATGCTGAACCGCTCAGCCACGTTCTCCAAGGTTATCCTAGACGCAAACAAGCAAAGCAGGAGGCTGTGGGTCTGCTCAGGGCTTGAGGGCCACGGCCACACTGAAGAACCATAGTGAAGAGCGCCCACGCCCGTCAGACCCTCAGAGGCACACACCAAAGGGAACGTTCTTTATGGGGGGCAGGTAGCCTGTGTGTGGGGCCTGCCCCCATAAAGAACATTCCAAGGAGGGGAGCAGAGGAGACACTGGCTGTACTGGCTGGTCACACTTGGTCAGCTTCTCCTATGGCTCCAGGCTGCCTCTGGAGAGAGGGTCTGGACAAAGCCAGACCACTGTCCACCGCAAGCCTCTCTTCGTATAACCGTACAGCCGGGAACCCCTACCCTTGGATGTTGGCAAAGTCCAGAGATCCCGGATATGATTGTAGATGATTTCCCAGGCTACATTCCACAGGTCTGAGTCCTCCCCAAACATGTTCAGAACCTCAGTGCTCCCCACATCCTTCTCAATGCTCCAGGTCTCCAACAGGGCTTCCGGGAGGGGGCATCTGGCACCATCCTCCTTGTGACGGGCATCTCGGCTTTGGGGGGCAACATGGGATATGTTTGGATACTCGGGAGGTTCAGAGGACTCAAGTGCTTAAAGAAAGGAAAGCCAAGGACGGAGTCAACCCCATACCTGGTCCCTGCTGAGTATGTGACCCTCAGAAGACGGAGGCTGAGTGGTTCAAAGCCCGGCATTGCCAGTCAGAGGAGGAAACGCCTTGGTCTCTCTCTGGCTGAGGGCAGAGTAGTGAGTGGGCTTCCTGTGGACACTCACCCCATAGGAATCAGGCAATCTCTGGCCTTCTCGTTCTCCAGCAGACGTGGAGAAACATTCCCGGAGTTCCCTCTCTCAGACAGGGACATGGACTCCACCCTGAGGAAGAGGAGCGATCTCTCAGCCCTGGTAGGAAGCCCTAGGAATGACCAACTGTGTGGCAAGTGCCGGGCAATAAACAGTCAGGGAGCCCTCCAGGTATGCAGCAGACAGACACCTGGCCAGTGGGCAGGGAGCCCTCCAGGTGTGCAGCAGACACCTGGCCATCGAGCAGGGAGCCCTCCAGGTGTGCGGCAGACAGACACCTGGCCATCGAGCAGGGAGCCCTCCAGGTGTGCAGCAGACAGACACCTGGCCAGCGAGCAGGGAGCCCTCCAGGTGTGCAGCAGACAGACACCTGGCCATCGAGCAGGGAGCCCTCCAGGTGTGCAGCAGACAGACACCTGGCCATCGAGCAGGGAGCCCTCCAGGTGTGCAGCAGACAGACACCTGGCCAGTGGGCAGGGAGCCCTCCAGGTGTGCAGCAGACAGACACCTGGCCAGCGAGCAGGGAGCCCTCCAGGTGTGCGGCAGACAGACACCTGGCCAGCGAGCAGGGACTGCAGAACGGCTGAGCCGCTCTTCCCCTCCCTCCCCAGACAGCGCCGTGCCAAACACAGCCCCAGCTCCGGGTCCTGCTGCATGGCCGGTTACTGAGCTAAGTAAGCAGCGGTTCCCGGGGATGGCCTCTCAACCCTCCCTCCAACGCAGTATGAACCAAATCAGCCCCATTCGCCCTTCAGCGTCCCCGAGTCAGAGGGAGAATCGCGGAATGGTGCACACTAAGTTTACATCAAAGGAAGACCTGGCCTGCATAGATTGGCAAGTCGGTGGGATGGCTGAGAGAAAGGTCAGGTGGCCCGCGTTGAGGGACCTGCTGGGGACATTGCTGGGGAGGTGGCCATGAGGCCACACGAACACCAGAAGCCCTGGCTAAGTTCTCTCCCGACTTCAGCATAACGCGAACTCCTTTTGTTCTTTTTGGAAGAACTGAGTGTTAACCGTAGGACCTTAAATGTGGCAGACAAGCGCTACAGTATCTCTTGGTCTTAATTTCCTTTTTATTTCACTTGGAGACAGGGTCTTGCTGGACTGCCTCGGCCCCAGATTTGCCGGGGTTACAACCCCGGCCAGTTGTCTAAATTCTGCTTAGGCATGAGAACCTGTCAAACTGTGACTGACACACCCCACAGTCAGCTGTGGTTACGGCTCTACTTAATGAGCAGCACAGAGCCGAGGTGAGGGTATGGCAAGGGAGGCAGCCGGCCGAGGTCACCGGCATGAGCCCCAGCTAGACAGTCGGGCCCCGTAGTTCTGACCTGGGTCAGCTGCACTCTCAATGGCTAGGGGACGTGATGCGGGCACTCCTCCAGTGACAGGTGCCTCGCCTCCAGCACCAGGGTCTTCAACCTGCTTGGGACTAGAATCCCAGGGACCCCACAGAGCCCCAACCTTCCCCCTCCAGCCACCACATCCGCTGTCCTCACTACGGCAAACACGAGGAACAGCAACAGGTAGGCTGGCTGGGACCCTTGCTCACCGCGGTCCCCGTTTGTGGACCTTAACTGTCCTCCTACTGACACACAGGTCAGGACAACCCAGTGCAGCCAGGCGGGAGGCGGCCATGAGCCAGCAATGCTTCCCATCAAAGTTATGACCCCTGGGAGTCTATCTTCCAAGCTCTCCTGGGCTGTCACCCAACAGCAGGTGTCCCCAGTGCTCTGCTCTTTCTATCATCAGGCCTAAGGTCTGCCGCCCTTTGCCCCAGAGGCAGAAACACGGGGGCAGTATGAGTGGAGGGGACAGTGAGCAGGGGCCTGACCATGTTCCCCCCTAGCAGCATCAGCTGGAATGTCTTCCTTGGCAACAGCCTAGGAAGGTGGACATTTGCATATAAGGAGACATGAGTGACTTGGGAGCCCACTTCTCTCAGGAGCATGAGAGAAATCAGCCAGTGCAATGGGCAAAGGCCAAACGCCGCTGACTTCCGCCAAGACAGGTTTGCAAGATAGAGCGAAGGAGGCCACTCCACTCGGAGCTTCAACAACTCGTAGGCTGCATCTGTGGGAGCCCAGCCCAGCCAGCTGCCGTGGTGGGTGGGGAGAGTCACGGTCCCTCAGAACTGAGGAGAGGAAAATTAGTTTGATTATTACTTTGGTTAATAGGGTCCGGCAGGAAGACAATCTTACCCACAGGCCATGCCAATGTCATAAGACCCATTTCTGATGCCACCTGCAACAAAAGCACCTCATAACCATCCTTGGCCAGAGTGGGCCAGCCCTGGGGCTGCACAGCCCGTTCCCTCCCTGCTCGTGGGTACATCCACAGAAGACCCAGGAGCACCCGAAAGAGCTTGGGGTGCTGTACCAGGCTTCTTCTTTTGGGCCACCAACCAGCTCCCAAACACGACACAGAGACTTACTGGTTACGAATGCTCGGCCTATCCTTGGCTCATTTCTGGCTAGCTCTTTTAATTTAAATTAACCTGTTTCTCTTACCTACCTTTTGCCTCAGGGCCTGCCTTCCTTCCTTCCTTCCTTCCGTCTGTCTGTACGTATGTACGTATGTCTGACTTTCACTGCTTCCTCCAGTGTCTGTCTGGTGGCTGCCTGGCTTCTTGGCCCAGGTGTCTCACCCTCCTTCTCCCTGCTCTCTTCTCCTTCTCTTCTCTTCTCTTCTCTTCTTCTCTTGAGCCCAGATTTCTCCTATTAATTCTCTCTGCCTGCCAGCCCTGCCTATCTCTCTCTCTCTCTCTCTCTCTCTCTCTCTCTCTTCCTAGCCATTGACCATTCAGCTTTTTATTAGACCTATCAAGCACCTTAGGCAGGCAAGGTGAAAAAGCAACACATCTTTTCACACTTAAACAAATACAGCAGGAAGAAATGTAACACACTCTTTTACAGTTAAAGTAACACCTCATAGCATAAACAAAAGTAACACATCTTTGCCCAGTCACCACAAAAGGGTGTGACAATGGGTGTTCCTCTCTGCCTACAGCAAGGACCAAGGACAGGGTACACTCACAGGCACCCAGCAGTCACAACTCACCAGCGATGTTGGCCACTGCCTGCAGCCCTGAGGAACACTGTCTGTTGACAGTAGACAAAGGGACAGTCTCTGGAATGTCACTGAAATAGAAGGGGAAATGGCAGTCAGCCCTAAATTTGAGTGTCACGTGGAAAGCCCACCGAGACTTCAGGGCCCCATAAGCCCCCAGCAGCAGCGTGTGCATAGATCAGGACAACAGGCAGCCCTGTCTCCACGGGGGGGGGTGCAGATCCGCAAAAGCAGAAGCAGCTGCTGTGCAGACTTGTCTCCATGGTCCCTGACTACCCAGAGTCCCCAAGCACATTCTCATCTGTCCCACAGCAGATGACCATGGAAACCTGCTGTGGGTCACAGACAGCCTCCCTCCTCCTCCCTGAAGACACAGCAATGAAAGCAGTCACTCCTGTGGTCCTGCGAGGATTCAGGACTGTGGTCCTTCGAGGACACAGGAGTGTGGTCCTGCGAGGATTCAGGACTGTGGTCCTTCCAGGATTCAGGAGTGTGGTCCTGCGAGGACACAGGAGTGGGCCTGTTGCTAGGCTAGGATGTAACATTTCATTTCGACATCACACCACCGTTCATCCCTACCCTTGACCTTTCCGGTAACCACAGAGCTGGCCCGATGCGTCCAGTTTTCTTTCCGTGGGCTGTCCCTCCACTTGCCTTCCTCATTCTCCCACTCCCTGCTCTGGGGCTCCCTGAGCTCAGCCATACTTCCAAGGCGGTAAAGGCCAAGGAGCATCCTTGGCCCTCATCTGACAACGAAGAACCCCCAGAGAACAAGTACATAGGAATTAGGAGGGTTCTGGTGTGCAGGCAGACGGGGGAATCCCTAGGCTGGTACTCCAAGGTTCTGAAGGGGACCCTAGGAGGATGACTCCCTAGGCCTGTGGAATTCCTCCCATGTCCCCTAATTCCCTAACTCTTGGTGGCCTTTTATCAAATCCATCAAGGTTCCCCTAAATAGTCTCTAAGCATGACACACTGCCTGAGAGAGACCCGGGCGCTGACTGCACTGGGTTTTTAGCGGATGCCCCAGCAATGCAGAGAGACTGAAACAGCAGGACCAGGTGCCAAAGCCACACCACGGAGGGACAAGGTCACCTGCTGGACAAGAAACACACCCATTTGAAGCCTGAGAGCTTGGGTATATTTGGGCAGGGTTTAGCCGGGGCAGGAAGAGCTGGCAGGGCCAGTGCCCAGTGGGGCAGAATGGGCAGAGGGAGAAGAGAATCAGGCAGCGAGCCTGCTGAAACAGATGATTGGAGACAAGAGTCTCCAGTCAGACTAGAGGGAGGTGTGGAGATCTTGAACCCCACGCTAAGTCTGACCCTTCCAGCTGCTCCGGCTTGTCACTGGCCAGGGTTTCTATTATTTCTGTGATAGGAGCTGTCCTACTTTATACATATTTCTCTTATTGGTTAATGAATAAAACACTGTTCAGCCAATGAGGCAGGAAGATAGGCAGGACTAGGAGACAAGGAGGATTCTGGGAAAGGTAGGCAGAGAGGGCCCACCAGAGGAATCGCCATGTGAGCTGCCAAAGGAGTTAGAGGTCCAGGCCCTTCTCCTGTAAGAGAAGACAATGTGGAAATACTTATATTAATAGAAATGGGTTAATAACTAAGACAGAGATAGCCAATAAGAAGCCCAAGCTACTGGCCAACAGTTTTATAATTAATATAGCATCTGTGTGTTTACTTAGGGTTCAAGGGTCGTGGGACCAACTGGGAGAAAGAACCCCACAATGCATTTCTGGTCCACACAGTAAGGATTGGGGGAGAGGGGTCTTCAGTCTCCAAGTGAGAAAGAATGAACCATTGCTTTGCTGCCTTGGCAGGACAGGGCTCTTCCTGGGAGAGACCCCCAATCCCATGCTGCACCATCCCCAAGTCGCCATGACTGGACAAGCCTAGACTTCCAGATGCTCAGCTAAGGGGGACGCACACACTGCTTGGCATTGGTCGTGTGATTCCACACTCTAAAGGGTACGTGTTAAGTTGGCTTTGTTTAAAGCATAGGCCACAGAGAGGCTCTGCCCCAGTGCCCAAGCCCTGGGTGGCTTGGCCGTGGGCCCAGTGACACACCCTCTCTCAGTAGGGAAAAGGTTATTATACTCATAGGACAGAGTTGAGTGTCCTCTAATTGCCTCAGTATCTTCTTTCAGCCTGATCTTCCACCACAGGCAGATGAGTCCCTGGGGGGCCCCAGCACTCACAGCAGACAATGAGAGCTAGAGTCGGGAGAATTACCTCAGGAACTGGGCAATGCGCGCCAAGACGGCTCCAGCCCCCGGCAAAAGCACGTTGCCTGCGGACAGAAGAGTCCTTACTGAGCATCAGGTAACGTCCTGAGGCCTAAGGTAAAACACGTCCCAGAAGGGAGGCACTCCAGATCTCTCCAGGAATCTACAGCCTCTGCAGAGAGTTTCATGGGAGGCTGTGGAGACTGAGTCTGAGGAATGGGGAGCCAACTACCAACCACCTGTCCTCCACCAGCCCAGGGCTGGAGGGACACCAGCACGCTTGCCAAGGCATACACTCCAAATCAGCACAGCTGGGCAGGTGCCTGCTTGCCGGACAACAGGAGAGCATCTAGGGTAAGAGGCACGCGGTGCAGAGCCTGAACGCTGAGGGAAACAGGGCTATGGGTGAGGGAAGCGAGTCTGCAACAGCTCGCCTCCCCCAAGTGTCCTCCTCCACGCCCCGTGCCACTGCGGGAGGGGGGACAGGCTGGCACCCCCGGATAGCGCCCTGTCACACACTATGTTGTTCTAGTTCGGGAAGATCTGGGGTTAGGGCAAGCCTGGGTGAACGCAGTCTACACCTGTAGCCGAACCGGGCTGGACTAGATGGTTCTGACAGATAAGATGTCAGTGTAGGTGGAGTACCGGGGCCTCCCACCTCCCGGAGTCTCCAGGAACACCAGGGCTTTAGAGCATCTATCCCAGGGCACTCCTGTTTTCCACGCGCAGATTGCCTCGAGGGGAGGGCGCCCGAGGTTCTGACTGTCAGGAGCAGTCTCACTCAGACCTCTGTGATCCAGTCCTTTCCCTCAGTAAACTCTGTGGGAACACCAGACCTTGAGCAGAGACCCACTTCCCCTTCTGCCTGGGAGTAGGCAGCTGTAAGACAATGTTTACTAAAAACAATACAATGCCTGGGGGCATTAAGTTCCTGGAAAAGGCCTGCCCGCAGAAACCACCCTGACCTCGACCTTGTCCAAAGACTAACCACCTCTTCGGCCACGCCCAGATCAGTTTCTGGGGTCAGAGAGAACCAGCCAGGGTAGAGAGGAGAGCAGAAGCTTCTCTGGTGGGAGCCTTTCTTGGGAAGTTTTCTTGAACCTTTTTGGGGCCTGCTTAAAGTTTTCTTTACATCGTTGAACAAGTCTCTGTGTTGTCAATCCCCGACACCCTCCGCACGTTCTCGGACACAGGCCGCGCAGCAGACGCGACAAAACTCAGCTCTGCGACGTGAGAGAAGGACCCGGGGGAGGAGGACCGAGAGGGCCCAGCGCATGCCCGGGCTCACCCACGGAGATGTCACCCAGCTCCTCGGGCTTGAGCTTCACGTCCTGGAGAACCGCGGTCAACACGGCCGACAGAAGCTCGTCCGGGGTGGTGTCCTGCAGGGCGGAGCGCAGCGGCTGTGAGCCCCGCTCCTGCATCCCCACCCGGGGACTCTGCGGTCGCCCCACCCCAGAGGGCGGGATCCCACCCGCACTGGCCGCCTTGGGCGCCCCTCGTCCGCCGGAGGCGCCTCACCTTGAAGCCGCCGCGGCCCGCAAGGCCGATGGGGGTGCGCCGTCCGTGCACCACCACCACGTCGGAGGCCGAGGCCTGCCGGAAGCCCGCGGAGCAGGGCGTGGCTTGCAGCGCGGAGCTCGACTCGGCCGACCGGCCAGGTGGCCCAGCACTACCTGCAGCCGATGCATCGAGGAGGTGGGTCCCGAGGATTTGCCTGGGCGCTGGGCGCGGAGCCCAGGGAATGGAAAACTGTGGCTGGCACAGGGGCAGAGCCAGTTGGAGTTTTACATTTTTCACGAGTCCCGCCTTCCCCTTCTGCAGCCAATCAGAAGGGGAGTTTTCCTGAGGTCACCTCACCACCACAGCCCAGCTTCTCAGAGCCAGGTCAACAAACTCCCAAAGCCCTCTTTTTGAATAGCTCATCCATATATACCTGCGATGGTGCAAGAGAGTACTGCGCAAGTTCAAGGCCAGTCTGGGCTACAAAATAAGATTTTTGTTTCAAATATATACTTTTTTTTTAAGTTTGTGCCCATTTCTGATGCCTCTCCCAGAAGTGTAAACTGGAACTTCCTGGTCTTTTACAGCATTTGCAACTAACACGGGAGGCAATACCTCAAAAGTCTTCTGGGTTACTGGCCATAAACCAGGATCCCGTTCTCCAAAGAGCGGTCATTGCACACTGTCAGACAAAAGGCAGGAGGTTCTGGGGCCATGGCGACAGCTCCACACTATGTGTGGAGAGGGAGGTCGGGACTCTGAATCGCATTGCCTAATTGGCTCTCCTGGGTCCCGGGACCCCAGCTGGAAGTTTACACGGTTTGGGATTCCCAGTCTTCCTCTTGGACAACTTTGGATTCCTAGCTGGGCAGAAGGAACCCTTTTTGTCAAACGTCTCTGAGAGTGTTCACAGGTCTTGACACCTCTTGACATCTGTTTGTGATGTCCTCATTAGTGCTGAACACCCTGCAGCCCCCGTCCCCTCCCCCCTTAGCAGAGGTGTCTACCAAGGCAAAGGAGCGTGCGGCATGACAGACACATGAACTGATCAATGACTTCCGATGAAGGAATGAATCGGGGCTCCCTGGATGGAGAACATGGATTCCTCCTGCTCCCCATCACAGCGACAGGTCAGTCAAAAACCGTGACAGCCACAGTGTTTTCCCCAAACCCCAGGAGAGCCCAGAACACGAAAGGAGAAACTGGGAGCGAGGTGCTTGTCCCATAGCATGAGGCCGGAGATCAGATCTGCAGTGCAGACATCACTGCTGGCCCGGCTTGACAGCCACCCTGTAACCTTATTGCGCAGGTGGGGCAGGCAGAGGCTCCTCAGGGCAAACTGCGTAACTAGACCAGTCAAGCCCAGGTTCAGAAGGAAACCGGCCTCAGAAAACAAAGTGGAGAGGATGCTGCTAGTCATCCAGGATGACACCCAACGTCACCCTCTGGCCTCCTACCTGCATGCGACACACATGTGCCCACATGCACTCGGGCATATGTGCACACACCAACACACACACACACACACACACACACACACACACACACACACACACATGAACGGGTGCAAAGGAGAGAAAGCCTCCGACCCCCGAAGGCAGGTCAAGTTGCCCCATCACCATTGCCAAGGGCACAGCCTGCCTCCCCGTTTTATCCTAAAAGCAGGGTCGTAAGCTCTCTAGAGTCCCCAGAGGGCAGAGTGCATTACGCCTCCTCCTTGCCCTCTCCCCACCAGTGCTGGCCTTTGCGAACCTCTTAGAACCCCAGGGTGGGAAGGCCAGTGACTCCATCAGCTCCTAGGATGCATTTCCAACCCACTGACTGCATGCGCTGGGCCAAGCAGAGCCAGGAATACCGCCCAAGACAAAAATCATAAGCTTATCTAAGGCATGAAAAGAAATGAGATCTTGTGTTCTCTTTTGTAACTCCATTACATGGATGCTGAGTGTGAAGCTTGCAGATGACAATGCTATGTCCCAATGTCAAAATGTTGAATACCTCCGCACTGAGCAAGGCCAGAGAGACCCGGACAACAGCAGAAGGACAGGCATTCCCCCTCCACAACCAGGGTGATGGATTTCAAAGACCATTTCTGAGTTCCACGTCGCTGACCCCAATGACCTCAAATGAAAGTGTGGGAGCCCGCCTAGCCCAGCACGGGTGCGGAGAACCACAGACTCCAAGACAACAGAGTGCTCTTCTAGGATGGAAGGCAGGAAGGGCTTACAGGGAGAGAGGGCAGAGGAGAAGCTACAACTGCAAGCTCCAATGCCCACCACAGCCGTAGGAGGATGGTCCACACCCCGCATCCTTCTGGCTGCTGCGAAGGGAATGGCCTTTCCAAAGCTTGAACTTTTCACTTGTGTTTTGTTCTGTTTGAGACACTGTTTTATGTATCTTGGATCAGCCTTGACCTGTGTATGTATGTGTGTGTGTATGTATGTATGTGTGTATGTATGTATGTATGTATGTGTGTGTGTGTATGTATGTATGTATGTGTTATATAGGTGCACATATGTGTCAGGTGTGCATGTGTGTGTATGTATGTATGTATGTGTATGCATGTGTGTGTATGTATGTATGTGTGTATATATATATGTATGTGTTATGTGGGTGCACATATGTGTCAGGTGTGCATGTGTGTGTATGTGTGTATGTATGTATGTGTGTGCATGTATGTATGTGTTATGTGGGTGCACATATGTGTCAGGTGTGCATGTGTGTGTATGTATGTATGTGTATGTATGTGTGTGTATGTATGTATGTGTTATGTGGGTGCACATATGTGTCAGGTGTGCATGTGTATGTGTGAATGCATGTGACAGCCACAGATCACCCTTGTGTGTTCTTTCTCAGGAGCTGTCTGAGTTTCATTTCTGTTGCTGTGGTAGAAATGTCCTAGTAAAGCAACTTAGTGGAGATCATGTTTGTTTAGCTTAGCTCACAATTCTAGGCTATAGTCCTGGAATACAGCACTGGGGTAAGGAAGCAGGAACCCAAAACAGCTGGTCATATCACACCCACAGTCAAGAGCAGCCAGGAGCAAGTGTGGCCGTGCTTACCTGTGCTTAGAACGCCTCTCTGCTTGTAAAGCACAGGATGCCCTGCCCAGGGGATGGTCCCACATACAGTGGGCTGTAGATCTTCCCACGTGAGGCAGCATGAGATGGTTCCCTGTGGACATGTCCACAGGCCAATCCGACACGGACAATCTCTTCCTGAGACTCTGTGTCGCATTTGATGGAAAAGCCAGGCATGATGGTCCATACCTATAATCCCAGAGCTTGGGAGGTGGAGGCAGGAGGAACAGGAATTCAAGGCTATCTTGCTTACTTTTCAAGTTTAAACCAGTTCAGTGGAAAGCAAGAATCTCAGGAGGTGGGCGTTCTAGAAGCCACAGCAGGATAGAAGATTGGTATTGTCCACTAGGTAGGTCGTCTTTAGGCACGAGTGTCTGTGTTTGAAAGCGTTGTCCCTTTAAATGACTACAAACACAGCTTCAAGTGGTTTGTTGTTTCTTGTTCCTAACAAGGGCTTTCACAAAAGAAAAATCAAAATACAAGAGTCACGATGAATCATCCCCATAGGTGTCCTACAGTCAACTTTGCCCTTAATAAATAATCTCTTTAAGATTCTAACGTCTCTGACCCAACTGCAGGGAGCTGTGCCATCTGGCATTTTAGGGCATGCGGTTTACACACACACACACATACACACACACACACACACACACACACATACACACACACACATACACACACAAGTGTCTTCCTGTGTGAGCATGTACACTTCCCCAGTAAGATCCCATGCTTCCTGTGTTCAAGCATGTCCTAGCTTTGGAAGAGATCCCGGGTGCCGCAGAAAGCAGACCTTCTGCTCACTCTGTCGCCTCCTGACCGCTTATTAGCTTTGCATACTTCAAGGATGAGCCCACTGTGCTCCCACGAAGAGAGGTTGTCACACTTCATCTATGGCAGTGGCTCTCACCCTCCCGAGGGCTGTGACCCTTTAGTACAGCTCCTCATGCTGTGCTGACTCCCAACCATAAGAGTATTTGTTGCTACTTCATTACTGTAATTTTGCTACTGTTTTGGATCATAATGTAAATAAGCTGATATGTGACCCCTGGGGAAGGTCATTCAGTCTCCCAAAGGGGTGGTGACCCACAGGTTGAGAACCACCCATCTTGGGGATGGCCATGTGGTTAGTTGGTAGAGTGTTTGCCTAGCACACTCAAGTGCTGGTTTAATCCCCAACACAGGATAAATGAGGTGTGGTAGCGCACGCTTGCTCATAACCAGGCTTCAGGAGGGGGAACTCTGAGGAGGGTCAGAACCTGGAGGTTGTCCTCAGTGACACAGGGACTTGAGGACAGCCTATGATGTCCTGCCTCAAAATAATAAATTTTAAAAATTCAGATTTTTAAACTGGTGTCAAGCACTGTTTCCAACTAAAATTTATATTCGAACAAACACACATAAATCTCATTCAGTCGCACCCCTGGTTTATAAAGGAGAAACTGAGGCCCAGTAACTTTGCAGAAGAGATGGGACCTGAATCCAGAGCCTTGACCTTTGGCCTAGTTCCCTCCCCCCCTCACACCTCCAACTTTGGGATATAGCAGCATCCTAAAAGACAAAATGTCATCTAGCTGGTGACTCCCTCAGGTCTGGCACCACATGGCCGGCTCCCTGTTGTGGCATGTTGGAGGATGCTTTCTGTGTGTGTGTGCATGTATGTGTGTTCCTACATGTGTGCATATATGTGTGTGCATATGTGTGTGTACAGGTATACATGCATGTGTGTGTGCGCATATGTGTGTGCAATGTGTACATGTGTGATTTATGCAGGTGCTTGCCCATAGAGGCCAGAGGGCCCTGTAGAGGGTCTTCCTCAATCCCTGCCCCCTTGTTGGAGAGTCTCTCACTGAACCTAGAGCTTACTGACTTGGCTTGATTGCAAATCCTCTTGTCACTGCATCCCTGGTAGGAGGACTTTAAGTACAGGTCTCCCTGCCTCCCTGGCCCCTGCCCCCTGCCTCCTGCCTCCCTGCCCCCCTCACCCCTGCCCCCTGCCTCCCTGTCTCCCTGCCCCTGCTCCTCCCCGCTCCCATCCCCCTGCCCCCTGCCCACTGCCTCCCTGCCTCCCTGCCTCCCTGCCCCCTGCCCCTGCTCCTCCCCCTCCCATCCCCCTGCCCCCTGCCCACTGCCTCCCTGCCTCCCTGCCCCCTGCCCCTGCTCCTCCCCCTCCCATCCCCCTGACCC